TTTTGGTTTCTAAACGCCTCCATTCTGATATGCCAAAACTGCTCAAAAGTAGTGTATCCTAAGTACTGAAGTTTCTCCTTCTTGGCTGGCTAGTACCCCCTGTCGGAGTCTCCTTCGTCTTCCCGTCGGAGCTGGCTAGTCTTTCCCTTTGTCAATGAAACGCGCTGATTTCCTGATCGGCTGAAGTTCTGGAGGTCCGGTCTTCTCTTTACCTCCTGGGGGCCACTTCGTTGCTGAAGATCTATAAACCTCCTCTTGGCCTTTCTTGTTTGTTGGAAAGGCACCGCTACTGCGTCGGCTGTCCTCTTTCCTTTGGCGATTCTTCGCTCTGAAGCTCCTCTGACCTCACTTGGAGTAGTTGTCGCCGAGTAACGCAGGGTCTCTGCCGAAACCTCTTTCATTTGAATCCGGAATCCGTTGCCGTGCCACTCGTTTTACTGGAATCCCGTTCTTTACCTCTTCTCCGCAAGTACAGGTGTTGGTTGTGGGGCAACTTTCCTTACCGGCTTTTCCGTGGTTTTTCTTTTCTTTTTTTTTCGCTGAGCCTGGACCTTGTGGCAGTTGCATTCGTTTGGCCGGTCTTTCTTCCCTACTTTCGGCTTGTTTCCTTTTTACTGTTGGGAGGCTCTAGCTCGGTGTTTGACTCACTGGGGTTCTTGGCATGCTTCCAGGATCCTGCAATAAATCTTTTAAAACTTGGAAGTCAGTACATCTATAATAAGGCTTTATTTGATAAATATTAGCAATTATTTGCTGGCCATTTACAGCCTTTATATAAAATGTCATATATTTAATCCTTCCGATGATGTACGGCCCTTCAAACCTGGGCTAAAACTTGACAACTCTATTTTCCGGTGCAGACAATAATGTTTGATTTTTAATACTTTTTGACCGACAGTATATTCTACATCCCGTGTATTTCTATTGTAGTATAACTCTGTTTCTGCCTTGCTACATCGGAATTTTTAATCGATTCCATTAATAATTTCTTGGATTAATTTAGAAGTCCAACAACAAAAATCAGCGTTATATTTGCAAATTTTCACAGAGCTAGTTTCGATGGTTTTACCGAACTGTGATCCTCAGCTGTCAAAGAACAAATGGCAGCTGAGGATCATGATTCGGTAAAACCATCGAAATAGTCCTGTGGAAATTTGCAAATATATCGCTGATTTTTGTTGTTGGATTTCTAAATCTTGTTTGGCGTGTTATTTTATCTCAATTTCTTGGATATCCTTCAATTTAAATTCTTGCCTTTGCTGCACATAAACAAACAAACAAAAAAAAAAAAAAAAAAAAAAAAAAAAGAAAAAAAGAGTTTGTCTAAGGGAATTAAAATTTTTCTCCCTAAAAAAATTCTGCAGGTGTTTTTTGTGTAATATCGTGCTTCGCTGTTCTCAAAGCAAAATCTAAATCATTGACACTGTCCCGGCGGTCATGATCCCGGAATAATTTTTACAATATTCTTATTTAACCGTTACGCAATATTCGATTGCTGTCTATACGGTACCATTTTCAGATGGCATGTGCCAAGTCCTGTGCAAAGATTTTTAAATAAGTTACTCACAAATTTTTTACCATTACCCGATACTGCTTTCACTGGGGCCCCGTATTTTAAAATATTACTTGTTTAGAAACGAATATGCTACTATTTCTGATGATGCTCTTTTAAGAGGAATTACTTCCACCCACTTTGAGAATTGATTCACGATGGGTAACAGATATCTATTTTCATTTATTTTTGTTCTAGGGTAAGAACCGAGCAAACCTATGCCAACCAATTCATTTAAGAAAGTGGTTTTTGTGTTATTTAAGTACGCGTCCGGGTTGAAATTGACATCGTTCATTAGTTGACACAAGTGACACGACCTGACATACGCCGTAACCACCCCCTGTAATTGAGGGAAATAAACCGCTTCGCGGACCCTTCGCAAAGTTTTTCTAATACCTAAATGACCCGATGGCGAATCAAGTAGCTCCTATAAAATATTTAAGCGTAGGGCTCGCTGGTATCACTGGCCGATATTCTTGATTATCGTTAGTTATTTTCGTGTAAAATAGTAATCTAACGATACTCTTATAATGGGCCGCCCTATCGCGAATAGTCGTTAAATCCACATGCTCAAAATGTTCGGGGTCTTTAAGATACGCATAAATATCCTTGAATTCTGGGTCCGTTTTTAATTCCGAAATTACAGTTTCATGGGACTCAAATACTTTAGAAGTTAGCATCGCACATTTAATTGTATTTCTTTCTTCGTCAATCTTAATTCTTGATAGGGCATCGGCAACTATATTTTCCTTCCCCAGAGTATGTTTCATGATTCTATTAAACTCTTGCAGTTTTAATGTCCAACGTACAAGCCGGGCAGAAAGATTTTTCCCCGAATACAAGCGACCAACTGCCAGATGGTCTGAGTATACTGCTATCGAGTCGCTTCCGAAATAAACGCGGAATTTTGCCCCGCTAGTAAGACAGCGAGAGTTTCTCTTTCGGTTGCGGTGTAATTCCTCTGAGTCTGATTTAAAGTTTTGTTGGAAAAGGCTATTGGCTGCCCATTTTTGGAAAGAAGTGCGCCAATTGCGTAATCTGATGCAATTTCTAAGTTTTGGTCCCCTTCCGGGAATAGAAGAACTGGGGCATTTATTAGGGTGTGTTTTAACTCTTCAAACGCCCTGCTCCCCTCAGCTTTCAGCGTGAATCTAGTTTTTTTCGTTTAAGAATCAACAAGGGTTCAACTATCTTCGCAAAATCCTTGATAAATACTCTATAATAGGAACGCATGCCCGAAAAGGAAGGTAATTTCTTGGCAGTGTTTGGAGGTGGATAACTCTTAATCGCTAATACTTTGGAATTATCAGTCTCGATACCTTTTTCTGAGATTTTATAACCAAGCTACTGGCTTCATTTAACTATGTGAGAACTTCCTCCAAATGTTTAATGTGTTCACCTATCGTTTCGTTAGTGACTATAATGTCATCTAGGTAAATTATTGTACTTTTCCCTAAGACTGGCCTTAAAACAATGTCCATGACTTTTTGAAATGTAATCAGAGCTCCACTTAAGCCAAACGGCATTCTCAAAAAGGCATACACGCCTGATTTCGTAATAAAAGCTGTCTTCTCGACATCCTCGGGTTTCATTGCGATCTGAAATAGCCTGATGTCAGGTCTAGTGTAATCATATACATTATTACGTAATTAATCAACTACTGTTTACGCAGGTTCTATTTATATTGATTTAAAAAACAAGAAGAAAATTCATTTACCTGTTCTGATTTGTTGAATCTGACGTGATGTTTCAGCTGGCAATCTTCTTTACAGAAAAACCACAATTGAATTTCTTGACATCACATTTTATTTACATAAAACATTCAAAAGGAAAAATTCATATTTAAATATATTTTCTTATACAGTAATTGATATTGCCTCTCTTTTTCTCTTATGGCTGTACGAAACAATTTATCCGTCTATCACACGAATTCGAAACCGAACTATCTACTATTTACAAAAAAGAATTAATAAAAACAAGGTTTTAATTTCTTTCACAAATGGAACTCCTGGCTCCCTCTAGCGGGAGAAAGCCACTTTAGATGAACATTTAACCTACTCCCACCTTAAATTTATGGTGGAAGCCAGAAATTAAACATTAAAATTAAATTTACATCATTACCCAAAAATAATAGAATGAAATAAAACTAATATTTAAAGATATTTATAATATTAACTAATATTATATTTTTAAGCTATTTTCAAGCCAAAAAAAGTTAAAGTTCTAAAATTGAGTTGTGAAAAGTGTTCATACAGTTCATCAGCTGGATTACTGGGTCATCGTTCTTAGATATCTCCAAATGGCAAAGTTTACGAATCGGTCGTACAAAAGTTCCTGAAGAGGATTTTACCTCTGCCACACGTGTACAACCATCTCTACTTGGAAACAATTTTGTGACTTTGCCTATTGGCCAGTTAAGTCTCTTTCGGTTGTCTAGTTCAATTAGTACTACATCACCCGTCTGGATCACTTGAGCCTTTTCTCTTGATTTTTGAACGAGATTTGCCAAATATTCTTTTCGAAATCTATTTCTCAATTTATCTTTGATATTTTGGCATTTCCGGTATCTTTTTCGAAGTTTCTGGAAATTAATTTTCTCTAGATCAGGTATCCCAATTTCTTGGATGTCTTGAATAAAAGATGATGGAGTCAAAGGAATAAATTTATCAGATTCTTCTGAAATATATGTAAGAGGTCGATTATTCATTACAGCTTCAACTTCACATAATATCGTTGAAAGGTCTTCAAAATTGAGTGATGATCTACCAAGTGTTCTTAGAAGAAGATTTTTTACACTGCGAATGAGCCGTTCCCACCATCCACCCCACCACGCAGCTGTTGGAGGAATGAACTTCCATTTAATGGGAGCTAGGTCTTCAGAATTTTCTATTTGACTCCAATTTAAAGATTTCAAAAGGTTGTTGGTACCCCTGAAGTTAGTTCCGTTGTCGCTGTAGCTTGTTGAAATTCTTCCCCTTCTCGCTATAAATCTCTTGAGGGCATAGATGAAACCTTCTGTTGACAAATTAGTCACTAATTCCAAGTGTACGGTGCGATACACAGCGCATGCGAAAATGACAATCCATACCTTGGTTTTGTTCTTTAGAAAGAGAGGACCACATAAATCAATGCCCACGACTTCAAAACTTTCGAGTCTCTGACTCGGTCAAATGGAAGATGAATAGGCGGAGTGACAAAAGGTTTTGAAGTAAATATTTTGCATCTCATGCATTTTGATAATTCACTTCGGATGTTACGCTTTGCAGAAATAATCCAAAAATTTTTTCGCAGGATGGAACCAACAGTCTGGAGACCAGCATGGCAGTTCTTTAAATGGCAGTCTCGTATTAAACAATTTACTACGTGATGTTTTGATGGCAACAAAATTGGATATTTGAACGAAAATTCGTCATCACGTTCTAACAACTTGGTTTTCACTCGTATTATGTTATTTTGATCTTTCACAACAACAAGACCTTTGACAGTAACCTGAGACATCACCAAAATTTTCTAACTGAATTCTTGACCAAAGGAACTTCTCTGCCTCTTTCTTTTCTTCGATCGAGAGCTCAGATGGGAAAAAATAATTTCTATTTCTACATTTGGATATGAATCTTTTCATCCAACAAATAATATTTACAAATCTGCAAAATTTCGAAATTCTCTCATAATTCATGAATTGATCTACTTTTGCACAGGTAAATAATGATATTGCAGTTTTCTTTCTTTCTGACATAACTAAATCTTCATTAGGAACCTGTTTGGGCCAATTATTTTCTTCGTCTTTTAACCATTTTGGTCCCTCCCACCATCTCGTCTCGATAAGATGTCTTGGACTACAACCACGAGATGGCAGGTCCGCCGGATTTAGATTACCTGGGACAAGATACCATTGGTATGATTCTGTGAGTTTGCATATTTCTCTGATTCTGTTACCCACAAAAGTACCCCATTGGTCATTTCTTCGTATCCATGCTATAACCGTTGAAGAGTCCGTCCAGTAATAAACTGGTATTGTAGGGACATCCAGAGCCTCACGAATATAGTTTGCTAATCTGGCTCCCAAAACACAAGCAAGAAGTTCTAGACGCGGGATTGTCAAAGTCTTTTTTGGCGCAAGTCGAGATTTTGTTCCTAGAAGCTGTACCGAAATCCTATTATTATCTTCACAGCGCAGGAAAATTACTGTTGCATATGCATTCTGACTCGCGTCGCAAAAAACATGTATAGACCATTTTTCTTTATTTCCGTAACCTATGCGTCTGTTTACCTTCAAGTTAGATAATTGTTTCAATTCACTATACCATTTCTGAAAGTCCTTTTGGATCTTCTCTGGAAGCGGGGAATCCCATTCTGACTTAGCTGACCAGGCCTCCTGAATCATTAGCTTGGCTGGCAACAATGCTGGGATGAGAAAACCGATGGGATCGTAAATACCTTGTGTTATAGACAAGATCTTCCGTTTAGTAGGATTTTCTGTTTCAGCGTCAAATTTATTGCAGATCATTAAACAATCCTCCTTTCTATCCCATTTAATCCCCAAAACCGAAACTGGAGTTGTAAGATCTTCTTTAAACAAACTTCTGTTCTCAGTTGACAACTTTTCTATTTCTTCTACCGGACCGAACTGCCATAATCTCAAATCCATCTTAGCTTCAGCCATAATTTCAGTTGACTTTGAGATAAATTCTTCTAATTCGGATGCACTGTCTACGGAGGTTACGCAGTTGTCAATATAGAAGGACTTCAAGAGTTTGTCAGTAACTGTTTTGAGTTGTTTTGGATACTTGTTCAAATGGTATCTTATAACCGCGCTGAGTAAAAAAGGGCTACAAGTAGCTCCAAATAACACTCTGTTATGTTGATAGACTTTAATTTTATTTGCCTTCTCCCCCCATAAAAGTCTCAAAAATCGGCGATCTTCTTCCTTAACTTCAATTTGGAGGAAGGCTTCTTCTGATGTCGGATACAACAGCAATAGCCTTTTCTCGGAATCTCAATAATATAGCGGGAATTTCTTCTATCAAGTTTGGTCCTTTGAAGAGACAGTCATTTAGGGATGGTGCTCTTCCAACTTTGCATGAGGCGTCAAAAACTGGTCTGATAGACGTAGTAGCACTCTCTGGCTTAATAACTGGATGGTGACACAAGTAATGGCCTCCTACTTCTTCTAGTTCCTTTTTTAAGACTTCCTGTATGACATTCTCCTTTTGTCATTCTCTAAAGACTAGATCATAATCTTCAAATTTACTTAACTTCTTCAGTCTTCTTGTAGTGATAAACAACCTTCTTTCTGTTTCATTTTATTTGAAGGAATGTTTGGGTTAATACAAGTCCATAGAAGACCAACATGGTAACGGCCGTCTTCACTTCTCATAAGTTCTTTGAGGAACAAATCATGGGCTAGCTCTTCTTCTTCCTTCTTAGATAACATTTCAGCGGGATCATTAACTCCTATTGTTTCTAGTCGCCATAAATCTGGAATGCTAAGTTCTCTCAGAGATAAATTAATCATCAACGATAGCTGTACCATTATTCACGTAACCTTGGGATGGATTCTCTTAACTCACCGCAAATTGTCCATCCAAGTTTTGTCTGAATTGCCGTTAGACCATTGTTCAGCTGCTTGATTCATCCTGTTAGGAGTTGGCCATAAACATCACTGCCAATTAAAATTTTTATTTCAGGACACCCAGTACCAATATCTGACATCCATAATCTATGCTTCTTAAGCTCTTGTAGAACAGACTCCTTTGGAATGCATGGAATGTTCCCACATATCTTTTCTTGGTCAAGGAATTCGGTTGTGATAACTGATTTGTGACCATTACCCGGTGCACTTAATTTAATTTATATTTACTATAAAGTTTAGCTTCTATTTCTGCACCTCCGAATACCGTGTGGGTAATAGCTGATGCAGCGAGAGGCTTAAGACCAAGTTCTTTCGCGGTGCTCTTTAAAATATAACTCCTTTGGGACCCACTGTCCAATAGTGCCCTCCTAACCTTCTTAATTTTCTTATTACCCTTAATTAGTATTTCTAGTGTCATGAGAGCTACTTCTTTTGAACACTGCTGATTTGCTAGTGTATTCTGGATATTTGCTAGGGGTTTACTTTTATCACTAATTTCTTTCGTTTTACCTATCTCAGGACAGAAAATCTCTGTATGAGGTTTTGAGCAGACATGACAGCATACAAAAACTTTACATGTTTTGGCACAGTGGCCAAAGCGTAAACATTTCAGACAACAGTTCTTTTCCCTGACTTTTTTTATTTTTTCTTCCAGAGAGAACGATCTGGCGACTACGCAGTCTTTACTTTCATGCGACTTACCACAGAACAAACACAACATTTCTTTAGCAGCGAATAAACCAGCTGCAGTAGGGTACTTGTTATCCCTTTTCCGTATTTTTTCTTTTACTCTCTCTTTTGGGATAATAGTTTCAAAGCCTGACCTGGCTAACTGTAATCTTTCTTCACCCGTTACCTCCCTCTTCAAAAAGTTCATTAACAATGTTAAACTCGACTTCGGAAAACTCGCTTCACTATCAGAATCTTCCTTTCCCCTAATATTGCATCTCTGCCATGCTCTTAAAATATCATCAGGTAAGCAGGATTCTATCATGGGGTATAGCCAGGCTGAATTACTTTCTATATCAAGCCCCATGGATTCTAAAGACCTTAAATGTGCTTCTACCTTGGTAAATAAGTCACACAATGATAATCTGTCTTTACCCTGTAGCTTGAATATTTGCTGTAATTAATTTCAAAAATTCCCTGACGTACACTTCGATAAGAATTTCTTTATCCCCATAACGATCTTGAAAAGCTCGCAAAGCTTTCGAATAATTTTCTGAAGTTATCGGGTAACGTTCTAATAAATGCCCAGCACGAGTTCCAGGTTCTACAGCTTGTAGCAAATATTGGAACTTATCACAATCATCTAATTCTTTATCTTCATGTATCTTCTTAAACTGTGCCCAAAATGGCAAATAATTAATTAACTGAGAATCAAAAGATTTTATATTCAATTTAGGTAATTTATACCGTTTGACTTTAGAGTTACTACTGACATCAGAATTACTAAAAACTGCGTCATTTGGAACTTTGTTTACATTTAGTAATTCACTACTTTTCTTTCAGTTGTGATGAATTCATCAGAATATTCCTCACAGCTTATAACTTCGGTTTCTAAATCATCTTCAGTGGCACTGCCCTTAATTAATAAATCTAGTACCTCTGAATCATAAGATTTTAACTCAGCAGTTATCATTTGTAACTTCACAATTTTATTTTTTAATACAGCTTTATCTGCTTGAGCATTTTTATTAATTTCGTTCTTTAGAACCTTAACCGTTCTAGTGAAAGGACTGTGTGCCTTTGCACGTTTTTTCTTTATCACATCAACATTCATTTTTACTTTAAACTCCACTCAAATATTTTTATCTTAAATTTTAAAGTAATCCTTTTAACGTAATCTTATTTCCTCAATCCTTTATTGGAATCTTGCACATAAATTTGTTTTACGTTGAAATTACTTTTATTAAAAAACATAAAACTTATAATATATATTTTAAGCTGAAAATACTAAATATCTATTTCTATTCAACTTAAATATAAACATGCTTTCATTCAACAAAATGCATCATCAAAATATAAACATATTTCAAGTACTTTCGTTTTCGAAAGCATAAATAGCTAGTTCTTCTTTAGGACAACACGTCCTGATGGCAGACGCCAAAAGCTTTTTTATATTACGTAATTAATCAACTACTGTTGATCGAAGTTGTCAGAATCCACTGACGTATGCAGGTTTTTTTTATATTACTAATTAAAAAACAAGAACAAAATTCATTCACCTTTTCTGATGAATCGTTGAATCGGACGTGATGTTTCAGCTGGCAATCTTCTTTACAGAAAAACTACAATTCTATTTCTTGACATCACATTTTATTTACATAAAACATTCAAAAGGAAAAAAAAATTAATATTTAAATACATTTTCTTGTACAGCCTCTCTTTTTCTCTTATGGCTGTATGAAAAATTTCTCCATCCATCACACGGATTCGAAACCGAACTATCTACTGTTTACAAAAAGAATAATAAAAACAAAGTTTTGATTTCTCTCACTAATGGAACCTCTAGAGGGAAAGACACTTTAGATGAACATTTAACATATGGAGTGTAATCGAGCATTACTTGGCTTCTTTAATATTGTTTAAAATGCTACTTCAGATTGTTTTGCCTTTAAGTTAATAACTTCATTTTGAATTATCTTTGATAAATATGATTCCTTTACCTTTGTTTGGTGCTTTGACTGGTACTTAAAGAGTTGAATTGTATTTGGCAAGAGCAGAGATTAAATTCAGAAAATTTCCTTCGCTAGGTCGAAGACACTGTGTGAACAGGCTACTTGGGATATCATCAGACCCAAGAAAAGAACGACAGTTTGTTGAAAGATACAGTACTGCATCCATGGCTATATAGAATTTCTTTCCATTTTTCTTTCTCTGTGCAAATGAGTTGCTCAGTAGGCCTTGGCACGATTTCATTTGTTGTACTCGAATTTTCCACTTAATGATGCACCTCTGTGGATTCCAGACGCTTCGTGTTCAGTTAATTTTCTTAAAACTTTTTTCCAATTAATGAATCCTGTAGTATGGTGTAGCGACAGCACCATGTTTCTGATAAATCTTGCAGAGTGCACAAAAAATTGCATTCTTGTTTTTAGAATATGTAAACCAAGATCTCCTAAGCTTTTCATTATTTATTAATGCTCTGTATTACATGTTAAATGTCTGCCATCACGTTCAATGGGACTGAGGTTTACGTTATCTGAATGTTTACTGGCTAATAATACTGATTGACTGCTTAAGAAATACTGTTGGTGATCTTTTATTTTTTTCTATGACCAGCCAACTGCATGGGTCCAACAAATGAAAAGTTTTTAGTTTTTCGTCTTTCTGCTGCCCGCTGCCCATCTAAATGAACAGATCTTTATATTATCTTTATATTATCTCCCATCTAAATGAAGAGATCTTTATATCATGGTTTCATGTCCTCCAGCTATTCGTTTGATGTCGATGAAGAAGGTTATTCTTTCCAAATGCTGACTTGTAGATTGTTTGGGGATGATATAGGCAGTCATGTTTGGTCGTGCAAATTGAAAGAAATATTAATATTCTCTAGAATCTCAGCATAATCGGAAATGCAGCAGGGTCTGACAGTTTACTTCTTCCGTAAAGTTGTTTTTTATCTTAACTGAAATTTGTTTTCTCTGTTTGGCCTTATCTTTGGCTCGTTTTCTATATTCCACTTTTCTCCCCCTCAGCTCGTGGATGGTTTCTTTTAATCTGAATGAAATTCACTATGAATTGTGTTAATAAGAATAACTAAGAATTGATGTAATTACACTGAACAGTCCTAAATAAATGGTCGTGTCTTGCTAAATATAGTGCGGGCTATTAAAAGCAAGCATATTAAAAAAAAAAGGGGGGAAACGCAAAAAAGAGTACAGAAGAGACCTGAAAAATAAAAAATAACAATAAAAATAATAAATCTAGCTTAAAAATTTAGAATACGCTTTACTGTTCCGAGTCAAACCAAAGGAGAGCCTATGTTGCCGACTGACTGCAAAGAAATCTAAATGCCTTGCTTCATCTTGAAGACATAATGATGGTGTCTTGTACATACTCGACGAATATTAATTTGAATTATTTCACTTGTCCGGGATGGCCCAAGGTTAATTTTTTTGGATTAGATCTTAGAAAGTAGTTACAATGCTTCTCCATATCCCAGCAGACGTTGCTATGGAAACCAGGCAACTCCTTCAACAAATATCGCCCTATTTCTCATTTGAATACACCCCCCGGCAAGAAAGGAAACGATAGAGGAACTTCAGACGTTACTGATAGGGGGCACTCTGATTCTATCAGTGACGCCTGGAGTCCCTCTATTTGCATCTTTCTGATCTTATATTTATAGTTGTAATTGGCTGTACATAACTTTATTTTAACACATGTTCCTTTAAAAGGGTTCTTATTATTTCATTATAAATCTTCTTAACAGAGATTTTTAAACTTGGCCTTAAAACTATTAACATTGTACTAAAATTAGAGAGCTGTTTTAGCGAACAGCATACCAAATACGATCCAGCGTTATATTTTAATTTGCCACCCGGGGCAAGAACCCCGGCTTGCCCCCCCCCGCTAGATCCAGGACTGTGATTCGCCAGGTTGGCATCAGATCAACGATGTATCTATGTGGAATGTTTCGGTTTGAGATGCGTGCAAAGCAAATACGCAGCAAAAGAGCCAAATTACTGATCGTACAAATTTATGCTAATTGATTGTTTCTTCAGTAACAAGGTAATTTATTTAGTGTTGAAGTGAAATTAAGAATCGGGACTCTCCAGATGTGTTATTATGTGCGGAAGGGAAAATCAAAATTCGCATGCGTAAAGCCTACGAGAAAATTTTGTTGGTGGTTTTGAGATCCGGATAATTGACGTCCAGATTTTGAACTTTGTACTGTATTAATGTGCATAATATATACAACCATGCAATAATTATACAATACTCTTCTTGTTAGTATGGGGTTTAATTCTGTCGTTTTATTTAAATTATATTTTATTTTCAGCGATAAAGACTGGATTGCAAGAGAAGCCCGTTTAGAACTTCACAGAAGAGAAACATTGGGTCTGCCTTTAGTTGATAAAAATTATATTGATCCAGAAAAAATAGTTCTTCCAACAGATGAAGAACTGGGTGACACTGAAATCATTATTTAAATTTAGTTTCTAATGTATTGGAATATACATTAAAAAATGTGTAAGTAGAATAGTATAGAATTTTGTTGTAATAATAAATTAACTTTTGAAATAAATTGTACAGGAAAACATTGTCGGTTCTTTAATATTTATTCTTTATATTAAAAGTTCCACAGTAGGTACACAGTGAGTCAAAAAAAGAGGGGAGGAACTTGTGTGCTTTATATGTTGCCTATAGGCCAACTAAAACAGGAGATTCCCATTTTGGCCTGTCAGCAAACTCAGCATTATTCTAACATATATAATTTGACACAAAATCAGACTTTTCTGAAATGATATACTGACCTCCAGTAGTTTGATTCTGCATCTCGGGTTATAAAATGCCAAGTTTTGTAGTGCTAGCAGTTCCTTTAAAATTAGCAGTCAGAATTTTGGCTTAGTAATGTTAATTGGATTTGTTATATATTAAATAATCACTTTTTTAATTGAACTTCCTAGCTTTCTGAATCTAAAATGTAAGTTTAAATGAAATAAAATTCAGACTTTTTTTTTTTTTTTTTTTTTTGTTTTTGTTTTGTTCTGATCTTTGCAAGAAAATTTTATTCTTAAATAACTTTATTGATTTCTGAAATTTTTTTATCATAACCTATAAATATTGGCACACCATTTTAAAATGTATAATTTTACGCACAGTTCCTCAAGAAAAGAATTTTTCATTAAAAAAAATTCGAGATATATGTAAATTTAGGTATTAAAAATATTCGGCAATGATTTTAAAATTGCCGGATATAAAATAGGCATAGGATTATAGGGATAATGATGCCATATATAAGCATCATTCTATTCAGCGTTGTTTAGGTTCTTTTTATTTGATTTTCATTTTCATTTAACTTTGTTT